CATGCATCATTGTGGGGGTGATCACTCCTTCTGTATCTGCATCATCAAAAGTGATACTTTCATCTTCTAAGGTCTGTCGCACTCGCTTCCCGTGCGTGATTGTTACTTTGAAAACTTTATTTGAAGTCGTATATGTTACTCCATAAATATCCTCTCCCCCACTTATAACATTCACGGTTCTCTTGGGTGATGGGGGCTTTGGTGGTTTTTGCCTATTTTTCATGTAGGCTTGCTTACCTTTCTCACTAAATAACTCAGTGAGATACCCTTGTTTCAATAGATGGTCCACTTCACTTTGCAAGAATCTACATTCTGAAGTCTTATGCCCGTGATCATTGTGAAATTCGCACCAATGATCTGGATTGCGCTTATTTGGATTTGACCGCATCTCTTTCGGCCACCGTACCTTATCTCCCATGCTCCTCAAAATAGCTACGAGCTCGGAGGTAGTGACATTGAAATTATATCCACCAAATCTTGCCTTCAAACTTCCATCATCATCTCGTGACCCGCGTGTGTTTCGATCATTCCCAAACCTTGATGAGGAGCCTGATTCCCTGTTCCTAGGTCTGTGATCGTACCTTTGATTATCTTGTCTTGACCGTGAGTCCTTTCCCGCAGGTCCCATGTATGGCTTGTACCTGTTTTTACCGGATCTCTTTTCATTTTCCACACGCCTTGAGCTTACCTTTTCTTCTGTTTTATGTCGTAAAATAATGTCTTCTTCAATCCTCATCTTTGTGCTGTATCTGTTGTAGACATCATTCCACGTTGTTGTTGGGAATTCACGAAGGCTTTCTTTGAGTCGCCTCGTGGCTTCTGAACTCTTCTCATTTAAATTACTAGCAAAGGCTATGGCTGCCCAATTGTCAGGTACTCGTGGTAGCGTCATTCTTTCCCGTTGAAATCTATCTACGAACTCTCTAAGCAACTCTGAGTCTCCTTGCTTGATTTTGAAGATATCTTCCATTCGTTTTTCAACTTTTTGAGCTCCCGAGTGTGCTTTGATAAATAAATCTGCAAGCTCAACAAACGAATTTATAGAATTTTCAGGTAAAAGAGAATACCATGTTAGAGCTCCTTTAGTGAGTGTTTCACCGAATTTTTTGACCAAGACCGACTCAATTTCTTGCTTAGTCAAATCATTGCCCTTGACACCTGTTGTGAATGCAGTAACGTGATCTCGTGGGTCTGATGTACCATCATACTTTGGAATATCAGGCATCTTAAACTTCTTTGGAATTGGAAGGGGAGCAGCGCTTGGCTTCCATGGTTGTTGGGAATATTTATCTATATCCACGCCCTTGATCACGGGCGGTACTCCAGGTATTTGCTCTATGCGTTCATTTAGCTCCTTAAGCTGTTTCTGCAAGGTTAGTACTAGACTTTGTAAATCAGAATTAACTGGATTACCTGGGTCTCTCTCTTGTGTTTCACTAGGGGTTTCACCGCTGCCAGAATTAATCAATCCTGAACGAGGATTCTCCAAAGTATTGTTATTCGGAGCAGATGTGGGTGGGACAGCAGGCAATTAGCGAGCAAAAACTTGGAGAGCGTTATTGACTTGAGAGGCAATAAGTTTTTGCAAAGCCTCATTCATGGTTTCAACGTTTTCGAATTGAGCCTGTCCATCTGTATAAGATCCATCAGGAGTGCCTTCACGAGATCGTCGTGGGGAGCCTCGTGGAGAATCTTGTGGAGAGCCTTGTGGGGAATCTCCCTAAAGTTGTTGGATTGTCTGAATTTCTGGGTTTCCTTGAGTGTTGTCATTGTTGTTCGACATGATTGATGCAATCAAGAAAATTAGATTGAGATATGCTTGATTATCAGATTCCCCGTAACGGAACCAATTTGTTTAACCAAAAAATAGAATTTCGGTTAAAACTAGATATTAAGAGGAAAAATCGGGTTACTGATAATCAGGAGACGAAAAGAATAAGAAATTTTTGAGGATAATAAAGCAGTAAATAAGTTTGTATTTCAATGTAATCTCAATGATATTTCGTGTCCTTACAATGCTGAGACCTCCTCCTTTTATAGTTGATTTTTCTAGGAAAAGGTATAATGCCTTAGCCTTAAAGAGGCAATTATGAGCATTAAATGACATTAAATGAAACGTTACACAATCATTCCTATTCAATACTGATTCGCTAACGTATTTGACATTCAATACTGAATTTAGACTCCTTTATGCCATCAGATTCATATCTTCAATTCCTTCTGACCTCCTGGCTTTAATTAAGTTAAATAGATACGAGACTCGTATCATTTGAATAGCATCTCGTGCCTATTTAACTTTCTTCTCCTCGTATCTGATATTGCCCGTGCCTCTTAACTGATCATCATGTTTTGACCATTTGACCAGTCCACGTGTCATGCCACGTCACCTTCAATTATAAATTCAGTTTTTTCCCAATACAAGATGGCATAAGAGTTAAAACGATAAAGAGGAGTGAAGATTAGAGAAAGCATGGGTAAAACACCAACGGGGTCGTTTACAAAGATACCGTACCTGACATCTGGAAAAGAGGAGATATGTGCGGGATTGATAACTAAGACCACGAGGAAGGAAAGTTCATTAATAGCCACGAGTATGGAAAGAAATTGACGTAATTCCTGATTATGCGCGATTGGTTGTTATTATCATAACTGTTACAAATTACCATATAACGGGCGATCAATGTAATAAATATTAGTAACATGCAAGAATTAAGTAGGGCAAGACAGTTACATATTGTACCTTATATAAATCCCCTTACCATATCTTGTACTAACATCAAGAAATTTTCGAAATTATACTATCAATCACTTATATTTTCTCTACTACTTAAAGATCCTATTCTCTCCTTTTTGAAGGAAGGTGTGATTATCAATAAGATTTCTTTTTTCTTATTCTCTCAATATTTTATTTTTATTCTTTGCTATTCATCTATATTAGAAAAAGTGAAGTAAATTTGATTATTAGATATTTTATTTTTATTCTTTGCTATTCATCTATATTAGAAAAAGTGAAGTAAATTTGATTATTAGAAACCCGAATTACTCTTTTATTTGCTTTAACCACAAAAATTCTTTTCACGGGGGAAGTTTCAATCTTACTATGTTCTTTAAGTTAAAGTCCTGCAGTTTAATTATGACAAATAGGCCAATAAGATGGCAGCCGCATATGATTGAGAACAGTAAAGGTTGCAATAAATGTATTCTCGGTAAAAGAATCGCTAGCATGCCTTTCCAATATTCTATCTTGGAAGTAAATCCATCATAAATATAATTCACTCTTTCTCCAATTCCCGATGCTACTTTAAATGCAGCAACTGCTCTACATGGTGTAGTGTATATATAGAAAACTTATCGTCCCTAGTTTTGTATCAGCTCTAAATTATCCTCATCCACCACTATAATATTGCAGCAGCTATTGATTCACAAATATGGCAGAGTCCAAAGTGACAATGAAGTTATTGATAGACTCTAAAACCAAAAGAGTAATGTTCGCCGAGGCTGGCAAAGAATGTATTGATTTCCTATTTCACATTCTAGCATTGCCAATAGGTAGTGTCATTAGGCTTCTCACAACCAAAGGGATGGTTGGCTGCTTGGGTAACTTGTACGAGAGCCTTGAGAATCTTGATAATATGTTCATTCAGCCGAATCAGGAAAAGGACATCCTCCTGAAACCAAAGTCAGCAGCCTATGCTACTTCAGGCCCTCTGTTGCTCGCTGATTCCCCTGTTAAAAAGCAGTTTTATAGGTGCTCTTATAATAATAACCATAATTACACGACTGATGATCCTCGAACACGTTGTCCTTCAGGTTGTGGAGCTATGAGCACAAAACTCGAATATGTAACATCCACTGCAGAAAATGTGGTAGCAACCGGTGGAGGCTTGGTAAAGGGGGTTGTGACTTATATGGTATTGGATAACTTGGTTGTGAAGCCAATGTCTACTATTTCAAGCATCACTCTGCTGAATGAATTCAGTGTTAAGGATGTTGGTATTCTTAAAGAAAAAGTTGTTACTCTTGGAATGGAGGAGGTATTTAAGCTCGTATTTCCTATCTTCATAACTTAGATATGATTTCTCAATATGTAAATTTGATCTTTATCTTTTTCATTACATATAAATTTCATAAACACAAGCATGCACACTTAATTCCTAGTTGTTTTGACAGGCTCTATTGCTGTTGAAGACTTCTCTGCAGTCAAAGAATGTCTTGACGAATGTTTTCATGGCTGCTATTTAAAATATTAAGTAACTTTTTGCTGTTCCACCAGATTCAGAATTGAACTGAATTACATTCCTAGGTTATTCTGGAGGCTCCTTTTGCTGTACTCTTTTTTCATTGACTTAGCTTGTTTGGTTTTCCATCTATGAAGTGGATGGACCTTTTTAAGTTTAATATTGTCCTCCTAAATTGTTTTTTACTTTGGTTGCTTTCTTTATTAACTATGTTTGTCTTAACTAGTTTACGTGTATGCTTAGTCATGTAAAATAGTATCAATTTTATTAAAATGAAGTATTTAAATAAATAATTATTCATTAAAAGGATCATTATAATCATGTAGATGTACATATAATTTGAGGCAGAGACTTTGCTATCTAGATGACCAAATTCTCGCATTAAAAATAGTTGAAATATCCTAAGAACGTAAGAATGTTGAAATTGAAATCAAACTAGTTAAATTACATAAGTGAAGCTACATACAATTTGAGTAATAGAGTATATGCTATTTAGGTGATCAAATTCGCAGATTCAAAATGATAATCTACAGTATGAAAGATAATTTATTGCTACATTCTATGAAGAAAAGAAAACAAAGATTGATAGTTAAACTACAATTATTTGCACAGCAAATAAAATAAAATAAAGTAGACAAATATAATTACACCTCAAATAAGTGAATAACAATGAATAAAGTAAAATGATAGATAAATAGTTAGTAAAAAAGAACTCTTTCGGTTTTGGATCTGCTACCAAGGACGAGAAAAGGTTAGATGTGATAATGTCATCACAAAAATAAATAAAAAAAATCAGTTTCTAACCTTCTTAACAGAGGATTACGTAACCAATCTTCTTAAACTGTCATGATCATTTGCAAATCCCAAAAGAAGGGTAAAACTTCATTTCCATAATCTTAATTAGTATTAATACCCGCATGATGTGCTGATAATATTATGATCCTATTAAATTCTATAAATTAAAAAGAACAAATTATGTAAATAACTATTGACAAATATTATAATCCCATATATAGTCGGCGATAAACAAATAAAAATTCAATATGAGTCAAAAATAAATAGTCCTTCCCTATTAATTTAGGTAAAATATTTTTGAAATTAGTCTGTTCCAAAAATGACACATTTTTGTATTTGGAAATAAATTAAATTTACATTTTTTATTTTATCCATTTTACCTATAATGAGAAGTTCTTATACCTTTACAAATATTATGGTCCCACAAAATTTTTAGTACCATAAGTTTCAAAAGTTTTCTTTTCCGTTCTTAAACTCCGTGCCAAGTAAAACTATCTCATCTATATTGAAACTGAGTGAAATCATACTATATAGAGTAATAACTAATAAAAATACATTTAGAAGTATCCTAATTTAAATTATAAAAATATATTATGTTATTATCTCAACATAATAACTTCTCACATCAACGTCAACTTCTACCAACCTAAAATTATTCAATGACAAATTAATATATGCTACATGATAATTTATTAATAACCAATATATTCTAACTTTTGGGAGTTACCAACTTATAAGACATTTGAAATGTAATTTTCTCAATAATTTTAATGTCACCTCAATTTTAACCACAATTAAAGCCAGTTTGTTTTTAACCAGTTAAATGATACCTTTGGGATATAGTTAAGATTAATATATTATAATAAAATAAATATTAACCTACTTTTCTTCTACCATGCACATGTACTAAAAGAAGATGAGTTCTTACATGTAATTCTTAGTTAACTGAATCTTACCTTATGATTTTTGTAATTCACTTTATTTTGTGTAATAGCATTCCCAAATAGTACAATTATATTCCTCTATATGTTTACCCTATCCAAATCTTTTTCATTCTAAATGACACACACACACACACACACACACACACATATATATATATATATATATATATATATATATCGACCCCATCGGTTGCTCGATCAATTGGCTCATACAATTTGAGAGAACATAAATATCAATAACGGGCTAAAAAGTCATAGTCCATACCTGAGCCATTAGAGAAGAATCAATCCTCCCTTCTTATCTATTTTAGCATAGCAACTACTAGAACTAATAGAAAAAAAAATGTATATATTGCTTCCAAGCAATTGAGATGTAAGAGAAATTATAAAATATTGAACAATTAATTTTACCGCAAGGCAACGCAATTGACATTTGTTTAGCCGATGTCTGAGTCGATTCATAGTTTAAAATATTATCCCCACAAAAATGTCACGACCCAAACCGATGGTCCGCGACGGGCACCCGGTACCTTACTCAACCGAGAACCAACGTAATGTATCTTTCTTATTACATCATCATATACACATGACATACGGGCCTAATAGGGCCTAATAGGCCAACATGATCCTTTACAAACTCAAAACATAGGCCGACAAGGCCGTACAATCTTTTATGCACGACATATGTCTACAAGCCTCTAAGAGTACATAAATATCATAAAGGTCGGGACAGAGTTCCGCCATACCAAACAATACACGTCTAAATCATACTAACCAAACGAGCAACTCCGAAGCAAATGGAGCGCACCAACATCTTCCGCTGAGCTGATAGCCTACTTGGAGGACTCTCGACCTGTCTATCGGGACCTACGGGCATGAAACACAACTTCCCCAGACAAAAGGGACGTCAGTACGAATAATGTACCGAGTATGTAAGGCACATAAATAAGTATATAAGAGACATGGAAGAAATATAGAGTACATGACTAAACCTGTAAGTCTGAATAACTTTGTAAATCATAAATTACTTTTAGCGTCATGCATATGCGTATGAATGTCATGTCGTGCATAGGTACATGTTTCATAACATCATCGGCCTCTGAGGGCATCCCATCGTATCATATCGGCCACTGTGGGCAAAATCATCATCGTATATCAGCTGATCAGGTGGTGGTGCGTATGTAACGCCATAACCTTTCCCATATCCCATATACATATATATGCGTATATAACGCCGTTTGAATCATATTTCAGCCACTGTTGGCAACATCATTATCATATACCAGCTGATCAGGTGGTGGTGCGTATATAACGCCATAACCTTTTCCCATATCCCATATACATATATTTACATATATACGCGTATATAACGCCATCTGGTCATGAGTCAATGCACATGAATGCAATGCATGAAAAGTACGTTAATAAAATCTTTCGGAATTTCATAAGACCGTTTTGTCTTGAGCAATATCATAAAGTAAACTTTTTTTTCTCAACTTTCATATTTCTCTAAGACCCATGAACATATGATAAAATATTATGACACATGGAAATTCAGGAACATAGATATCTCTAATATTTCTATGAATAGAGTCATTTATGGAATTTGTGCATTTGCACGTTTTGTTCGTATCGTATAGTTCATGTCAAAAGAAAGAAAGGATAGCCTTAACATACTTGGAGTAGGAACAACTCCGTATAATTATCCCGTTGGAAACCTTCGTGGATTGAATTTAGAATCCAAAACTCAGATTTAAGTATCCGCGCTTCTGAAATTGGAACGAAACTTTGCTATGTTGGATGAAATGATACTGCTTTCTAACGTTTTGGGTTGGATTGGAATGGAAATTTTGGACGAAATTTGGTTAGCTCTTTGAAATCCAAATCGAAATGTTGCTAAAGAATTTTGGACGAAGTGATATGTTTTCCAAGTTTCTTTGAATTCAAGCCAAACTAATTGGGCAAGAAATGAAAGGTTTCTGTTCTAATTGCTCTTGGTTTCAGCCAAAGCAATGAAATTTGAAATGAAAACCAAGACATTAAATGAAACACATGACAGTATTTGGATAAGTCTTTCACAAGTCTTTCCAAGACTTGAATTTAAGTCATTATTAAGTAGCCACCTAGAATTATGACTACTTAGTCATCTTCTAAGTTTTATGGCTTCTTGCCACGTGGGGTGGGGGTGGAATTTTAATTAATTTATCCACTTATTAGTTAAGTGGGTAACGTCCTGTTACCCGATAATTAATTAATTATCCGCAAAATTAAAAATTATTCCCACTTACTTGAAATATTACTCACTTTTCACATACCTTATACGCCTTACTATTATGGTCATGTGGTACCTTGTATGGTACTAGTCCATGAATACCGAGTATGTTAGCTTGAGCCGTATTTTATCCCAAAACACCAAATTTCAACGAAATTCATTTTCTTAGACTTGCTCCCCCTTTCACCTTTATGAATTTACTAATCACTTGTGAAATAGAATAATCCTTATATTCCCCAAATAATCTTTTTCTTGGACTGATGTGAATTACCTTACGACAAATTCAACGTCAAATACTGCAGGGTGCAACATCGTTGTAACTTATTACTGCTGTAACAATCCGACCGGTCGTTTTGAGCTTTTGCACTTTGATCGCCAGTTCTCGGGCATGACTTGCCCCGTGTAATATATTATGACTGATGTAGATCGTTGGTTTTGGGTTTGGAGGTCCGGTGTAGAATTAGGCTTGAATTGGCGAAGTTAGTATTTTGGCGAATTCCGGTTGATAGGTGAGATTTTGATCCGAGGGTCGGAATGGAATTCCGAGAGTTGCTGTAGCTTCGTTAGGTGATTTGGGATGTGTGTGCAAAATTTCAGGTCATTCGGAGGTGTTTTGGTTGGGTTTTTGATCGAATGTGTGTTTCGGAAGTTTTAGAAGAACTTAGGCTTGAATCTGATGTAATTTGATGGTTTCGGTGTTGAATGATGTGTTTTGATGATTGGAACGAGTTTGGGTGATGTTTTAGGATGGGTTGGCACTTTTGGTTGAGGTCCCGGGGGCCTCGGGTGATTTCGGATGGCTATCGGGATGAGTTTTGGACTTGTGTTATTTCAGAAATTGCTGGTTCTGGTATTTCCGCATCTGCGGAATTGGGACCGCAGATGCGGTCTCGCAGATGCGGGAAGGAGGTCGCAGGTGCGAAAATGAGCTTGGAGGCTGGTTTCCGCAGAAGCGGACTTGGACCTCAGGGAATTTCCGCAGGAGCGGATAGT